GTATAAAATCCAACATTTTTCAGTCAGGTCATCTGGACAGTTTTTTTCCTTGACTGATGAAGCTTTCCAGATCGAAGGCGAAACGTTTGAGCACAAAACAAAAAAAAACTGTCCAGATGACCTGACTGAAAAATGTTGGAGTAGAAAACAGTTGAAAAACAGCTAAAATTAGCTGAAAATTGCTGAAAAACAATGTTTAAATTTGCACAAGGAAGCTGAAAGAAGCTGAACCAAAACTAAATGTGCAAGGAGCAGTAAAAGGTTGTAAACAGAACTAAAGATATGAAGGATGTAAAATGAGCTCAATTCATTTTCTTTGAGAAAAAAAAAAAGTAGAAAAGGATATCAAAAAGCTAAAGTTGCACCAATACCAAAACTCATAGCAGGATTGTTCTGAGAGCTGAAGGGTTTGATTTATGATTTCTTGAAATAGCTTAAAAACTGTGGGGCGAGAATCACGCCGAAAAACATACAGAAGAAAAAGGATCATGGAGGGTTGCTACGAGCTACAGCTATCGGATCTGGGGGTTGTTGCAGTGGAGACCCGGTCTGCCGCCGTTTGGACCTGCGAGCCGCTGGGGCCGAGTAAACCGAGAGACCGCCGTGGAATCTGGGGGTTGTTGCGCTAGGCCTCGGCTAACACCATAAGCCTGTGAACCTCGTGGCTAGATCTTGTGCTTCTGAGAGTTGATACCAACAATCCAGAAGTATTGTGAGTAATGCCGAGCAAACACAAAACAAGGAAACAAGAGTCGGAAAATAATTCAGAAGATATGGAGGAAGTTAAAAACTCTTTAAACTTTATGAGTGCTGAACTGACGAGATTAGCATCTAAGTGTGAACTCCTGACCGGTCTGATTGAAGAAGTGAAACAATTGAAAGAACTGATAAGTAATAAAGACAGAAAAATAGCTGAACTGGAACAAAAAGTAGACGATATGGAACAATACACAAGACTAGACAACTTGGTGATCACTGGACTGGAAGTTAGGAACCGGACATATGCAAGAGTTGTTGCTGGTACTAACAGTACAGAAGACGCACCACAGGAAGAATTACAGACTCTGGAGGAGCAAGTAGTGACATTTTTACAAAACAAAGACATTGACATCAAACATGAGGATATTTCAATCTGTCACACCCTGCCCAGCAAATCAGATAAAAGTCAAACCATCCATAGTCATCAGGTTCATTAGCAGGAAATCAAGAAACAAGGTAATAATGCAAGCAAAAAAACTGAAGGGAACAAATGTTTACATAAATGAACATCTAACTAAAAAAATGGAAATATTGCACGTGAAGCAAGGTTGTTGAAAAAACAGAAAAAAAATAGCATCAACTTGGACAAGAAATGGAAACATTTGGATCAAACTAGAGGAAGGATCTCAGGCTAAAATAATAAAAGACCTGAAGGATCTGGAAAAACTAAAATGAGCTCAGGAGAGGACAGATGATAAATCATTGACATAACTTCATAAACAATATATAAAAATGAACAAATACATTAAAACATGGCAACATACGAAGACTCAGAGTTTAAAATATACAATGTTGAAGATGTGATTGATACAAATTATTTCCCTGTAATAAAAGACTGTGAATATTATAATGAAAAACAGTTTAATGACATCAATATAACAAATGGAGGTCTCTCTATTATTCACTTTAATAGTAGAAGTTTAAATGCAAACATATCCAAAATAACAGATTATTTAAAACAGCTAAACAGAACCTTTACAATAATAGCACTGTCAGAGACGTGGCTCAACGATGAAAACACAAATAATGTTCACATGGAAGGGTATGAATTATATCATGTGAACAGAAGCAACAAAAGAGGTGGTGGAGTGGCTCTATTTGTTAAAAATGAAATAAAATGTAAATTAATTAATGAAATGTCAATAATTGTTGATAATATCATGGAAATAATAACAATAGAAATAATAAACAAGAATGATAAAAACATATTGATAAGTTGTGTATATCGATCTCCAGGATCAAATATAGAAATATTCACCGATAAAATCGTACAACTATTGCACAAGAGTTTTAATAAAAGCATTTTTTTGTGTGGAGACTTTAATATTGACCTGGGAAATAAAACAGATTCAAATAACATCAGTACATTTACAAATTCATTGTATAGTTTAAATCTTTATCCGTTAATATCAAAACCAACAAGAATTACAACTCATAGTGCTACAATAATCGATAATATTTTCACAAATGTAACAAATGGGGATGTGATGGGAGGTATTTTAACGAGTGATTTAAGTGATCATTTACCAGTTTTCACGATTTATAAAAATGATCAAAGCATTACAAAAGAAATTACAATTAAGGAAAAACAATAAACACATCAAAAAAAGCAATGGACAAATTAAAAGATGATTTACATAAACAAAGCTGGAAAGACGTGTATGTTGATGATGTGAACAGATCATATGATGAGTTTATGAATATTTTGGGAGCTCTGTATGAAAAGAATTGTGTGCAAAATAATTATACAAAGAGAAATGTTGTTGACCAACCATGGATGACGAAAGGGTTGAGAAATGCTTGTAAAAAAAGAATTATTTGTATACATGTTTCTTGAAATTGAGAACACAAGAGGCCGAAGAAAAATACAAGAAGTATAAAAATAAATTAGTAGCGATTATAAGGAAACACAAGAAGGAACATTATAGTGATTTATTAAATAAAAGTAATGGTGATATGAAAGCTACATGGCGAGTAATAAATAGTGTTCTGAAAAGTCATAAAGCAAAAACAGGTATTTCACAATATTTTTTGAAGGATGACAATGAAATCCATGATGAAAATGAAATTGTAAATGGATTTAATCATCATTTTGTGAATGTTGGATCAAGCCTTGCAGCTAAAATACCAAAAGTGGACAATAATGTGAACCATTCAGTTATAGGATGTTGGAATTGATGAAGACAGAATTTGATAAAATACAAACTTGGTTTAAACTTAATAAATTATCATTAAATTTAGATAAAACTAAATACATGATATTTAGTAACAAAAAGAGAACTGTTGATGATCCATTTAAAATTGAGGGTGTTGAGATTTGTAGAGTTAATGAGATGAAAATTTTGGGTGTAATCATTGATGAACAGCTAACATGGAAAAATCACATCAATTCTGTAAGAACAAAAATATCTAAATCTATTGCAGTACTATACAAAGTCAGGGAATTATTAAATGATAAAGCTCTGTACATGTTGTATAACACAATCATTGTTCCACATTTAATCTATTGCATTGATGTTTGGGGGAAAGTGTGTAAAACATTTACAAAGCCTATTTTTATTTTACAGAAAAGAGCTGTAAGAATTATCACCAGAAAGCATTACAGTCACCCATCAAGCACATTATTTTATCAACTGAAGTTATTGAAGTTCCATGATTTGGTAGATTACAGTATTTTATCAGTTATGTATAGGGCTCAAAATAACACATTACCGTTAAATATCCAAAGAAATTTTGTTAAAAGACAAAGTTGTTATAATCTTAAGGGGATAGAGATATTTGTCAAACCAAAATTCAGAACTAGTCAGAAGGGAAGGTCTACCTCAATCCAAGGAGTTGGATTGTGGAATGGTCTAGAGAGTGATGTGAAAAATGTCAAGTCAATGTGTACATTTAAGAAAAATATCAAAGCTGAATTGTTAAAAAAGTATATATGAAGTAGCTTAGTGTGTTTTGTATTAGTTAGAAAAATTAGAAAGAGTTATTTGTTTTGTTCTGTTACTTGAAGATTATTATCATTGAACTAATTGTTTGAAAAAAAGGGACAGATATAATAAGATTTTTTCTTCTTTCTGCTGCCTTTCATTTTAAATCTCTTGTATTTTTTTATATAGTGTATGGAATTGTTTTGTTTTGTTTTTTTTACAATGAATAAACTTTATACCATACCATACATTCATAAAATAAAGAGATCAGTAGCCAAACTTGAGTAAAATGAGATCTAACCAATGAAAGCATGCCTCTCATCCTTGACTGCAAGTCTGTAACAGCGAGGGAAGAAGGTATCCGGGTCAGCAGAATCAAACCAGTGCAGGTTCCTCAAGTTCACACACAACCCCGCCTGTCAGACAAAACACCGGTGATAGAGATGAGTGTGACAGGAAAAATAAATTAGACTCACCTTTCCCATGAGAATAAAACAAGTGCAATAAATTTACCTTGGTGGTGAAGCTGGTGACCTTCGCAAAGTGATTAATCATCTGTTCTTTCTGCAAGGTGCTTTTGCTGACGGCATCTCTGTGGTTTGTCCAGTAGAAATAAACCATTTCATTTCGCACAAGACAAGACTAGGAAAGGAGAAGAGGGGTGAGATGAGGCCTAAATCTGAAAATATTTAAAGTTCGGATGACTATTAATATCCTCTTGTTTAGTTTTCACCATGAGACTGTGCAGTCTGTCAGGATCCTGCTCCATTTCAGCATGGTCAGAGCTCTCTGAGGATGGTCAGCAGGAGTAAAATGAAGGGGCTTAAACAGACACGTTCACTCATTAATAACAGAAAGGCGACTGACACACACCTAGCTTACCATCGTCGCTGTAAGCAGCATCATTGGAGCTGAACCTGCTCTCACTGTGCTGATGCTGCTGTCTGAAGCAGCGATGGTGCTGCTCCACCCAGCCTCGAGCCCGCAGAGCTGCCCTAATGACAGGGTAAGGGCCCTGGATGGAGAACACCTTATGCATCTGGGACAGCAGAAACACAAATGTTGGTTTCCTTCATGGAACAATCAAAGATTTATGTATACGTCTACACAAAGTTCTGATCTGTCTACATCTAGCTCACCTTCACAGCTTTATTTGCCAAGGCTTTGGCTATATTCAGTCCTGGGTTAAGAACAGGTAGGAAATCTTTGACCTGGGTGTGTTTTGCTGGCACACAAACACAGACATATTTATTTCATAGACTTCATTTATTTATTTAGTTATTTATTTCACAAAGCTCAAACTAAGAGACAGGATTTATGATGTAAGATTAGTGCATTTTGCACTTGCCTTTCTTAAACAAGCAGGTGAACAAACACATGGAGTTTCTTAAATGCATTATAAAATATTCTATACATTGCAAAAAAATATATACAGCTCAACTTTAAAGAAAACGTCATTTAAGATGTGTCTTAGAGCTAAAAAAGCAAATTTATGAAATATTAATATGTATTCATTCAACCTTTATTTAAACAGATAAATCATATTGAGCCTTGAAGATTCATTTACAAGTGATACCTGTTTGGACAAACAAAAACAGTGGTTAACTGGACACATGTAGGAGTTGATTTTTTTCCTATCAGACTTTTTTTTTCTCTACCTGAGAAAAAAAAAACCTTCTAATATTAAAAAAACACCTCGCACAAACAAGCACATAGTGACATAGACATTCTGCAGAGGGGGGGAGCCGAGAGCGGTCAGCATGTTCATAGATGCTCTCTCTCGAGGTCACAGTAAGAGTTCTGATAAGGATGGAAAATCAGTCGATGTCCTCCGGTGAGATCCATAAACATCCTCGAGGTATGTCGAGGAATGGCCAAGAATAACGTCTATGGAATAACGTCTATGAGAATCCAAGAGTCCTAAAATGATGACACAAAGTTTATTCAGCTGGTTTCATCTGGTTATCAGTTGGAAATTCCTCAGGGAGGGGGTGGTGAGCGTCCGATCACATGTACTCCAGGCGAATTCAGATAAGGTGGCCTTCAAGGCCAGCCAAGGGGAGCCAACTTAGATAAACACACAGTTGTTTGGGGGACAGGCAGGACTTAATGACATCTACCTTGAGTCTGTGTTGGTTGACTCGGTTCCGAAATGTCCAAAATACATGGCCACACTGATGGAACGTGATGGAGTAAAATCCCCAAGATCTGATCCATTCAGCCCAAAGCATTTGAGTCCGGGTACTCGAGACACAAACCAAGCCATCATAAAGGCAAGCAGCGTGATAGGGTCCAAATTTGCTGCCGACGACTTCCTTGATTATAGAAAAAAAACAGCAACCAGCCAAATCCAAAAAGCAGGAACCAGTTATCGTAAATCCAATTAAATGTGTCCTTTTTTTTTTTTTTTTTCAAGTCTTCCTGCCTGGCTGTGGCATGCGGTCTGGTGCTTGGCTGGGGTTCTGGGCTGTGGGGGGGTGTGGGTGGGGGGGGCTTTTGCTCAGGTGGCTCTGCACTGCTGGCCCGGGGGCGTCTGGGCGTGTTAGGCGTGTGCCCTCCCTTGCATGGGGTGCTCTCATTGTGGGTGTTGCTGTGGTGGACTGGTCGGTCCTTTTGTAGGGGTGGGGGTGCGCTCTCGGTCATCGTGGTGCACTGTCTGCGGCTGTTCAGGCACTCCTGGCTGATTGTCGCTGCTCGAGTTTGGTGGCTTCTTTGGTTGGGGGGCTGGGTGTTGAGCTGGGGATCGGGTTGGGGGTCTGGATGATCTCGGGGGGGCTTGGGTCGCTGGCCTGGGTTCTGGTCAGTCCTCGGGGCTATGTGCCGGTCCGTGGCCTGGGTCCCTGGTGATGCGGCTGCCTCCTGCTCCTGGATGGATGCACTGGAGCCTCCCTCCCCTGGTGGATCTCGGAGAATGGGGGTGCCTATTGGGGTCAGTGGGGGTGCTGGCCCCCTGGGAGGGCATTGCCACCTCAGTTGTTCCTCCCCATCCCGACGTCTTCCTCCATCCACTCCATCACACCACCACTCAAGCAGGGCCTTGGGGTTCAGGTGCACTACTGAGCTGCGGGGAGGATCCTCCATCTCCGTGGTTCGTGGAGACCTGGGCCCCAATTTTATCAAACAACCTAGACCAGGGGTGTCAAACTCCAGGCCTCGAGGGCCAGAGTCCTGCAACTTTTAGATGTTGCACTGGTCCAAAACACCTGAATCATATGACTGAATTAGCTTCTCAGTGCAGTCAAGTTCTCCAAAGTCCTGCTAATGACCTCCTTATTTGATTCAGCTGTGTGGCATCAGAGATACATCTAAAAGTTGCAGGACTCCGGCCCTCAAGGCCTGGAGTTTGACATCTGTGACCTAGACAGTCGCATATAACATTCTCACGACACATGTATATATAGGGTCTGGAGTGGGCACATGGTGTCATATAGGGGGTGGGATGTGTAATCATTCTCACCTCCAGGACCTGTGCCCACTCTTATATGTAGCATGTAGACATTTAGGGTTCTGGGCAAGGGTTGGGGGGGTGAACGGGCACTGCCTGCTCTATGGGGAGGGGGTGGATCTGTGCCAGTCGCCGCCTCATCCCCCCATTTTAAACGCACTATATAACAACATGCATCAACATCTTATTTGAGTGGGGGGAGGAAGGAGTTGGGTCTTCCAGTTTTCCTTAAACCCTCATTCTCTGTCTGACATTTGGGGTCGGGGGCAGGGGGGGGGGGGGGGGG